GCAAAGCTATCGATTTCAGAACAGTCCATTCGTCAGTTCTGGGTGGAATCATCTGTATCAAATATGGAATGACGTAGTAACGAAATCAGCCTCTAATCAGACTCTGGTTGAAGCTATCTCGGCACGATAAAACAAAAGAAATCCCCCTCTCCACCATGTAATATATCGATGTTCGATGTCTCATCGCCTCGACATCCAATTTAGTGATCAGCTTGCAAATTTGTTCCACTTTCAATGATTTACAATCACGCGATATAAGATGACGTATCGCGGTCGATGGAATCGAAAGTTCCTTCAATTCCGTCTGATACCTCTCCCGCTCGCACTAGAGCATGAATAGTTGCATTCCTCCATTTGACTTCGGATTGTGTCAAAACGATATCGAATACGCCGTGTAAAAAAACTCACCGAAAAAAAAGTGAAGTTGATCTAACATTCTGGATGTAAGAAAAGTGTGCGAGAACTCACGAAATGCTAAATTACCCACTACGGCAGTAAGTTTTACATCTTGACATTGCTATAGTGACTGCTGCACCAGTTAATTCAGCATTTAGTAAATTCTCGCACACCTTTTTTACATCCAGAATGTTGAATTAACTTCGGTTTTTTTTAGTGTATGAACTTTTGCACTTTGAAAAATTTCTACCCAATCGTCATGCCAGCAATTTTTTAAAGTCAGGCCCCCTAACTTCAGCTCCGAGAAAGGAAATCATCGGGAAACTTTAGAAAGAACTTGAGTTTGACACTGTTCAATACTTTCCGATTGACTGGGGATAACTCCATTGTAACTTTGAAATGGTTGTCGCGGAGAAGTCGGAGTGTTTTTATCCTTTCAGAGGCCCGAGAAAGTGCGCGCCCACTCAAAACTCGGCGCGCGGCTGGAGCATTTTCTCGATTCTTTGCACGAGTAAGTAAACGTGAAGTTCTTGATGTTTGGCGGGATCAATAGAGGCACTGAACCCTGAACTCGGGGAGGCGAGCAATTTGTCACTGTTTGCTTTTCCTAATCTGACAACCGAGTCCGAAATTTCCCAGTCAGTGATTGTCGTAGAACAAAGTTACGAGGGAATTTATGGGCGCTCATTTAAGGAACATTCAACTTGCGGACTGCTTCCCCGGGACCAACCGAGCGTTTCTAAGTTTCTATTAGTGCAAGTTTATTATTGTGAAGCTTTTTAAAGCTTCCCCGGGCCGCGGTGGGCGAGATCAATAAGGGGCCCATTCGTGGCGCCAACGAGGACGACCGACGCCTGGAGCCTCGGAGGCAACGCACACAACATCTCTAGATTCGATTACGTACATTTTGATGTGTTCCTTTCGCTCGCCCCCCACCATTCCCTCTCCTCGCCATTATTTCATCACCACTGTTCTCACGAGCTCAATTTGGGATACTGCCCTTCCATCGCGCGACATTTTCTCCATTCTTTTTCACACCACATCCCTCATATTTTTTACTGTTTTTTATCATTTTATTGTTTTATCGGCGGAGAAACTACTTCTTTGATGGTCCTGTGACCTCGGCGGTATTTTTTATAAAGAGTCTATATTGGTAGTAAAATCACAATGTATTCCGATCGTGGTATTTAGAAATGTCCGCTCTTGCATTACTTTATGAGTGTATTGTCCAATTTTTTCACTCGCAATTGTTGAAAAATATACCTAAAAAATTTACCTTGATGTGTTCCTTTCCCTTGCCCCCAACCATTCCCATTCCTCGCCATTATTTCATCACCATTGTTCTCACGAGCTCAATTTGGGATACTGCCCTTCCATCGCGCGACATTTTCTTCATTCTTTTTCACACTACATCCCTCATATTTTTTACTGTTTTTTATCATTTTATTGTTTAATTGACGGAGAAACTACTTCTTTGATGGCCCTGTGGCAGTGTGGCTTCGGCAGTATTTTCTATAAAGAGTCTATATCGGCAGTAAAATACCACGATGTATTCCGATCGTGGTGTCTAGAAATTTCCGCTCTTGCATTACTTTGTGAGTGTATTGTCCACCTTTTTTCACTCGCAATTGTTAGAAAATACATATACCTAAAAGGACAAAAAATATTACAGGAAATGTTGCACAGTAATGATTCATTGATCATCCCTCAATGAAGAAATATATGACGGGAAATCTGTAACGTCGCAAACCGATCCACGTGGCTTCGTATTTTCACCATCAGTATGCTTTCGTCGTACTTTTGTCGTCACTTAGGAGATATTTTTCCGTCGTAAGATAGTCTTTTTCGCAGTAATTATATGCATACTCATTGCACTTCAGCCTACGTTGGCCTTGTGACGATAGCGAGAAAAACAAGCACTTGTCGCATATCTCCCCTTTGGAGTTGATTTTATGACAACAACAATTGCCCTGTTTTACGAGGGCAAAAAAAAAGTAGTAGATCTCATGAAATTACTGAGAATTCTACGTGTTTTATGTGAACGTCTCCCTTCAGCAAGCATAATACAAGCCAAAAAAGTTTGTCATGAAATTTTTGTTTTTCTACTTTGAATCAGTATATTCATGTGTGTTCAGTTGTTTTTATGAAGGTAAAATTCCTCAATGAGTCTTAGTGCAAGGGTCATGCAAAAATTGACTTGTTCCCTTTTGAAAACAACTGATTCGTTTTGGCTCCAGCCTAATTCTGTTTTGATTTTGTGGCAACGATCAACCCCGTCTTTACATTGAAACATCGTTCAGTTAGATTTTCAGACTCCACAATTTCTCTCGGAATACTGATGAACATTACTTGTAGCAACCAACTGATTTGAACGATCTCATGAAAAGTCGTAAAAGTACTAATAAAGCTTTTCTTCAAGAGAAACTAACAATCAAATGCTTCGAAAATGTAACTCAGTGCGCATTGTGGCGGCGGAGCCTTTCGCTGCCTTTGATGCTTAAGGTTTTGTAAGTCATGGCAAATTAAGGTGCATTGGTGCGTTCGTTGATCAACGGAAGTCCTTCACACGGAAACTCTGGGGCCCAGCCTTGCCACTTCGAATTATAGACCCTGAGAGGTATATAGGATAATATTGATGTATCAGTTGGCAACTTTTCATAACGAGAAACTCCTTCATCGCCGTCGGAGAATTAAGATTATCTGGACACGACCTTATGAAACTCAACCCTCACTAAATTGTACGCTCTCTCTCATTCAGAACGTGCTCTCTGCTCGCAATCTCATCAGATCCTCGCCAAACTTCAATTTTGGTTGCTCTTGATTTTCTCGGTCCTCTTTTCCTCTTTTTCTACTTTCGAAAAATCTTGAAATTCTTTCGTGGGTAGATGCAAATATTGAAACAGAATCTGTGAAACACTAAAAAAAAATTCTCGGCTTTTTTACCAAGGACCGTTGGTACCTTTACCATCTCACTTTTTTTTATCAATTATTGGTAATGTTACCGAGACAGACTGGTAAGCTTACCTTAAAAACCGGTATTTTTACTGTTTTTTTTTCAGGTAAGAATACCACTTTTATTGGTAATCAATGCCCGGTTACTTTGCCATTTTTTCCCGGTAATTTTACCACAGTCGATAAAAAATATTGGCATTTTTACCAAGGTCCAGTAAAATTACCGAGAAAGTTCAACAATTTTACCGAGATTTCTCGGTAAAATTACCAATTCCATAAATGGTAATTTTACCAAGAAAAAACTGGGATTAAATAGAACCCTGAATTCTTGGTAATTTTACCCTTTTCTTAGTATATACACCGAGATTTTTTTTCAGTGAAAGGGACCTTGTAGCTTCCTGGCGCCAATGGTTCATGCAGAGCCGAATTTAGGCGGAAAGGTCCAAAGTGGCGATTTTTAGTTCTCCACGGGGAACGCTCTCTCGAAGCTCTGGGACCAAGCTTTATTTTTAAAGTTCTCACTACAGAGAGCACTAACTGCTCCGTTTCTACATACGTGTCAGAATTCCTATTCTAAATGTACTTTATTACTTGAACCTCAAAAAAAAAAATTTGTCTTGGAACTTTTAGACGTCATATTTCTTTAAATTTTTTAGCTTTTGGGGTCGAAGCGTCCAAATATCCAGATTTTCTTTCTCTATGAAAAGGTATCTTTAACTAGAGTACCTACATAGGGAGAGTATGGACAACTCGAAATATGTAGCTCTTAGGGCCCAAAAGGGTAGGTAACCTTTGAAAACGAAAAATGTTACTGTCAATATTAAGACTCCAATATCAAACAAAAATGGACAAGAAAATTCATAAGTAAGCATTCTTCCGCAAAAATGAGTAAGTTTATGCAAAAACCAAGTCAAATACGTGCGTTACTAACGACAGTTCCCAACAAACGTGATTATACATATAAATCACTCTGGATAATTTGAATTCATAGATTGCCTACCCTTGGGGTTTAAGAGTTCCATCACGTAATTTCAAAATTTTCAACTTGTCCATACTCTCCCTACACGGAAAAAAAAACTTCGTGCATGGGACCCGAAATTGAGGTCATGTGGATCTCTGAAGTTTTCGGATCTTGCATCCAAAAACTTGAGGTCCAACTACCGAAGTTCGGGTCAGACATCTGAAGTCCTTAGGTATGTACCGGATACTTCAGTTGTGTGACCCGAACCCTTTCGGTATGTACCTAAGTACTTCAGATGTCTGACTCGAACTTCAGCAGCTGGACCTCAAGTTTTCGGATGCCAGATCCGGATTTCGGGGTACCTCAACCTCGGGTCCCATGCACGAAGTTTTTTTCTCCGTGTATATAGGAACTCTATCTTGAACTAAATGTTGGATTTTCGAGAGACGAAGTCCCTTTCCACAGGGTTTGTCTCGTTTGTATGTATATATAACCTCAACTTCCGGTCCCATGCACGAAGTTTTTTTCTCCGTGTATATAGGAACTCTATCTTGAACTAAATGTTGAATTTTCGAGAAACAAAGTCCCTTTTTACAGGATTTGTCTCATTTGTATGAAATAAGCAGTACTGTAGTGTCTATTATTGATATTGGTGATTATTTAAATGATTTGTGTTTGTTGTTTGTTTCAGGAGAAGACGTGACGTCGGATGGCAGACGAGGAGTTCGCCGAACTGGCGGAGATTCACTTGTCGAAACCGTACGGGGAGCGAGAGCGGGAGGCGCAGTGGGGCGGCGGCGGGAGCGGGGGCTTCGGGCTGGGGCTGGGGATCGGGGGGCGAAGCCCGAGCAACAACACGGGCTCCCTCTCGCACCAGCGCTGCACGTCGATATGCACACCGCAGCTGGCCCGAGCGGCCGAGGCCGAGGATATCCTAGGGTCTTACCGGGCCGGCCACGGCGGGGCGGCCGCCCGGCGCTCCGGCATGTACTACTCCCCGCCGGGCACCTCCTACACCATCGTGGAGCGCGCCACGCCGGCCCCGCAGAACAAGCACCTCCGCGGCTCCTACCTCGGCACCGCCACCGGCCCCGGGACCGGAGCCTCCACCCCAGCTCACCACACTCCGCCGCCCGCCTTCTCAACGGCGCACACCAAGAGCAAGCCCAACAAACAGAGCGCCCTCTCCCCGGAGCAAGTCATCAAGCTCCTCGGGGGCAGCACTTCGCACAAGGGCTCCCCCGGCCCTGCCGGCCCCCCCGGCAGCCCCCCCGAGCGCGAGAGACCCATCCTCCCTCCGCCGCCCACCTTGGATCAACTGACCACGCGCACAGTGAACATGTCCCGCTCTGCCGACGCCGGACACGGCTTCGGCATCTGCGTCAAGGGAGGCATCAAAGACTCAGGTAAGAGCGCCCATCACTCCAATATCTCTACAAACCTAGCTTTCCTTCAAGAAAGAAAATTGGACCCCTAAAAAAAATTTAAGGACGTGTCCCATTAAGGTGGGTATTTTGGCCGTAATTTTGGTCGAAAATTGTCATCGTCGAAGTGACGTTTTGCAGTTTTCTCGAATAATCGCCCATTTTCGGTCCTAAATTAGATTGTTTATGTATGAGCACAAGCGACTACCACTTTCTCCTTTAAATATGTCAATCTTTAGTGCACCCATTACAACATATTTAAAGGAGAAAGTGGTACCTAGTCGCTTGTGCTCATACAAAAACAATCTAATTTTGAACCGTAAATGAGCAATTATTCGAGAAAACCGCAAAATTTCTCTACTTTCCGCCAATAAATCAGGCAGAAACCTTTCAAAAACACCTCAAACAAGGACAAGTTCTCACGGGGTAAATGATTAAGAGTCGCTTTTACCATACATGACATTATTCTAAGCTGTTTCAATTTTCGACCAAAAGAGCCAAAATAGCCTTCTTAAATGGGATTAGGACACATCCCTTAGATTTTTTAGAATATAAATATATTCTAGTGTATATAGTTATGTTTATTTATCCGAAATTCCTGCCAAAAAAGCGAAAAATCGCATTTTCTCAAAAACGGCCTAACTACAGATTTCACGGTTTGTTGTTCCTCAATCAGTAGGCCTTCTAGTTGACATTTCCGCAAAAAAATCGCGGATGGTATGTTGACCGCATTAAGAGTGTTTAAAACGCACCGTGAAACGCATACATCATGAATATAGAGCAAGAGGAACGATAATCGTTGGTGACGGCGCAGAGATACAACTATTCGTGCTTGATGGATGTCCGTGCGGTATCTGTAAAATTGAAGGCGCTCTGGCGCGGCGCGAGGCGTAAACTCGCAGTGCTCCGCTCGACGCTGACAATGAAGTGTTGAAGGGTCGCTCAGATTCAAGAGAAAAGTTAAAAAATGTGGTCCGATTACGTCTTTTCTATCCTCGAATGTGTTGACACTTGATTTTCTTCCTTCGTACCACCCGTCGAGCACGTATTTTTAGCAAACTGGGGGTCAATTTGACCCGGTTTTTGCGACTAAGGGTTAATAGAAATTTTTCATGTGAACCCTCCATCTTCTACTCAGATTAAATGAACCCTATCACTAAATTCCCAGTCCTCTCATTTATCAATAAATAAACAATAACAAAAGAATAAAATAAAATAATACGGATACGAAGAACATAATTAAACATTTTAAATGAATCGTATTCAAAATTAGTAAAATATCAATTTTCTACTCTTCAAAAACACTAGTGCTTTAGAAATTTACAAGGTAACATAGGATTTTCCACTTGACCCATGCATTTGAAAAAGATCAAGAGAAATGCAAATAATTACTGAATTATTAGTCCCAACAGTTTCTGAGACGAGATTACTCTCTCAGTTCGTTGAAGGATGGTATGCAGATTGTAGAGTCCTAATTTTTCGTTCATATTTTTTTCTAATTTATCTCGTATTACATTTCACGACTGAACTTGTTGAATTCAGAGGAAGGTCTTTTACCGACACTTGTTTTCCATCAGTATCCTTCCCTTTCGACGTTTTTCAACTGATAATCCGATTTTGAAGTATTTAATTAGAAGGGTCCATGAGTCTGAATGACAATTATGACGAATGAAAGGCAAGGATGCACGGTGACCATTAATCAAAACGGTGGTGATTACCGAAAACAGTTTATAAAGGCGCCTTTCATGATGTTGGGTTCTCGAATTAAATGGTTAGACAACCACCAAACTGTTGCTGGTTAATGATGCATGCGGTTCAATGATTCATCATTAATTATATTCCCTTTCTTCAACGCTTTAGTCCATGTGATAGCCTGTGTGAATATTAATGGCCAAGTCCTTACCTCGTGAAGTTGATGCAAATGTACTCATTAGTTTAACTGGAAGATGAAGAGCCGTCACAGAGGACCCTTCACTTTGACATTAATACCTACTGAATATTTTCCTCAATCTAGAATACACTCCGTCCAGATACACTATTAAAAAGAGATCCATGTAATAACACGAAAACCTTTGTTACAGGTGTAGGATTGAGAAACTTTGCACCTTCATTTTTTCCTCTCTTGAATTTCCTCTAGCTTTTACTTTTATAAGTTCTGTTTTTACATCTAAAAATCCGGGCATACGTTGAAAGAGTTTATACCTCACAATAGTTACAAATAGAATTCCAGCTTGAATCGTTTTGTGGTGTTTTAAAAAAGTTCAAAGATAATTTCCTTGCGTATCCTCCATACGAGTGCCACAAGAATCGTGTCCTGCCTAAAATCAGAGTGGATACTTTTCGATGAAAATAGATAAAAAAAATTGAAATCCCTTGCATCATATTAAATAAGACTCGCAATCTTTATTCAAGGAGGATGCAAATCTGTGCGGCGTAAGTTTAAATTGAAGTTAGAGCATTTTTATCGGTGTATGACGTCCTTTTCGAGCAGGAAATTTGTGAGGGCGTTTTAGCCTCGTGCCGAGGAGGTCTCACGTTCTCGTGCTAACTCACAAAATCTCCGGAGCAGTTATTTTTGTCCGCACTGCTCGGTCTCAGGGGCAACCGCTTCAACTTGGAGGGATTTGTAACCGATGAAAAATCAATACAGGTGTATTTGAGGCAAATTTAATTGGCTGGGCGTAGTCCGAAAAAAGCTTCTGTTCGATGACGACTCTAGTTTATGGCTCGAAAATACTGGCATCCGATGCTGTGTTGCCAATTTTGGTACTCGATAATTCATTTTCATCATGGAAACCTACGTAAATTAAGTCGTATTTTGTTCGAAACAACAAATTGTTTCTGTTTTTTTTTTTTTCTTGCTTTTTTTTTGCGTGATTCTGAACAATCAATGAAAAAGCAAATTCCAATTTTAGGTTATAAAACAGCGTTCACGGAAAAAACGAGTTTAGGGCTGGTACCTGCACCGAAGGTCCCAGCCCTAACCGGGTAGGTAAAATTGCTTCACCTCCACCGCCATAGGGGCAGGCCCGGCGCGCGTAGAGCCCAAATCTACCTGCTTCAGGGTTCAGCCCTACCTGGTAAGAGGTAGACCCTGTCCAGGTAGGGCTGGGCCTTACCCACGCAGGGCCTGCCCCTGTGGCGGTGGAGGTGAAGCAATTCTAGGGCCCAGCCCTAATCTCGTTTTTTCAGTGTTGTCTTGGGCAACAACATAAAGACGACTTGCCTCTGAGCACGTTGCAGTTGTTGTACAACAATGTTGCTGTAGGGGTTCCCAAATTTTGCGCGCGAAAATAAGCCCCGCCCCCACAACACAAAACAAATTCGAACAAAATGCGATTGTTGCTTGTTTTTCCAACATGTTACGAGTGTTGCCTCCGAACAAAATACGACTTTACTTACGTATTCGTGAAATTAAGTAGTTTCGTCCATGACCAAATTAGCTGAGCGAGGGCTCATTTAAAAGATGAAGTTTTGAACTAAAAACGGGACATTAAACCGCATTTTAAAATTCAGCACAGTTTGCGCTAACCCTGCAAACTGTAAATTGTATTGGGACAGTCATAGTTCTAAGAATGCAGGCGCCGCCATTTATCTACACAAGTAATATGACCGTGAAAAAAATATATATATCTTTATCGCTGCAATTTAATCTTTTACTCTTCAATATTCTCACCGAGCAACTCATGTGAGAACTCTCCAATCTTCATTTAAATCCTTTTGAATTATGGAAAGAGGGAGAACCGCTCAAGGTCATGAACGCAGTAAAGTCTTGTCGTACTTGGCAACGTTACAAATCGGAAAACACGCTTGTGTTTTTTTTTACTACTCGAACCTACGGTTAAATGCTCAGCAGAAGACAAAGAAAGAAAACGGCCTATCTAACTCGTTTTTAGGTAAATCTGAGGAAAAGCGTGGCAAAGGTGTTGTATCTCAAAATTTTCATTTTAAAATACCAGATGGGGGGGGGGCCCTCTAAGCGCTTTGAAGTTCAATCCCTGCAGCGTATCGCGCCTCCTCAAGTATTATGCGTTACGCGTTATTCTAATGATTTTATAGCATAGAGTAAAATATTTAATTATTTTTTTCTCATCCATCTTAGAGGAATAAGAATTAAGTTTGACCTTTAATTTTTTTACGAAATATTCATTATATAAAAAAGAAACTCGTGGACGTTTTAAGCAACTGACGTTTTCTCATTTTTCATCGCAAAATTAAGTATGATTATCAATTTGAAACGTCGCACTAGTAACTCGTGATTTTAAAATTGATTAATTTGGTATTTTCATCAAAAGTAATATTATCAATGTATTCTTTTTTTTTTTTAAGTTTTGATTTTTACCATCTCGAAAGAGTCCGAATAAGATTATAATGGGGATTTTGTAACCAATTGTAGATGCAATGAAACTAGTATCAAAAAGAGAAACTTGAAATTATAATTCTTTAGCAACAAGCTACATGGTGTCTAGAACGGGAAAAACCGGGAAAATCCGGGACTCATCAGGGAATGAAAATTTACATTGAAAATCAGGGAAAAATCAGAGAATCTGCTCCAGAAACCGGGAATCTCTTCTTCTTCGCTTAGGGATTATTTCGATTTCGAATTTGGCGGCCTAATCTGTCCGAGCGATATTATCAACTTCTTGAATGACACATTTGAAGCTTCAAATCATCAAAAGAACAGAGAAGCTTTCATTGACCAGACAACATAAACATCAGGAACACTATCGGAATTAAAATTTTGAATGTGTGCCAAAGAAATGGCTGAAAGATTAATTACAATCTATATTCATGTATGGAACATTGGATAGTTATATTTTTCCCCCAGAAAATCCAGAAGAAGTGGGAGAAAACTTCGGTTTTTCATCAGGGAATGAGCTCTAGAAAATCAGGGAAAAATCAGAAAATGAGCCTGATCAAAAATTCTAGACACCATGAACAAGCACCAATATTAAATGTGCGTTAGAATGTGGCGACTAGAC